TTTACCTAACGTGTTTTTGTTTACGTATCTGTTCAATACTTTGTACGTGAAGCTTTGATTTTAATAATACAACAATCCCTTTGATTCTGTTGATTTTATTCTCCAACACGACGCTAAGCTTTTTATGAAAAGTTGACAAATGTAAAATTATAACAAGATTAATCGATTTGTTAAATCTCATGTTATATATACATAATCTTATTACTTTTAACAGTTTTAGCTTTTAACTTACATATTATAACTTACTTTAAGGTATTTATTATACTTTTTTTTCCTGCCTATGCTGATAGCCTTAAGAGGCTATTTCAGCTTCACCCTAACGTTTAGGTGAGCTCACGGGGCTCAAACCGGAGTGTTGCTAACACTGGCCCTAGCAAGAGCAGTACTTCGCAAAATCTACCAGCGGATCGGAAACGCGACCCACTGAGAAGATCCGGCGAGAAACTCAGTGGGCTGTGTCTGTGGGTTAATTCGCTCGTCGAGCACTTCGTCGCAAGCGACGGGTTCGACGAGGGGGGTAACCGGTGCTTGTGGTACCTAAAAGCAACGTTAATGGATCGGGTGGATCCGTAATGACTTGTTTTGGGCGACGTCGACTATTTACCATTCTGTCTACAGGATCGGGCATGAATAATACATTTTTTGTTTTTTTTTTTTTGGTCAGGAGGAAATCGCCGGACTTCCGCCCTCCACTGGGGACGGCGGGCGGAGCATGTCGGAGTCGAACCGACTAAAACCTCCTGTCGCTCAACAACCAACGTCCAAACCTCACATGAGACAGAACTCATGAAAAGGCAAAGGGGGGAAAGTGAAGTGTTTAGTGCGGAGCACATCTCTCCCATCACCCTCCCCCTCGGGACGCCGGACTGGCGGTCGTCGGCGCCACGACCACCAGCCCTCTCGGTCGGCAGGCTATCCGGAGCCCGCCTAGATGGCGCCGGTTAGAGTGAGCATGAATAATACATAGTTGAGATGTGAAGTCAACGACTTCTCCGACACGATCTAAAAGTATATGTATGTACTTGAAGATTTTCCTGACATTTAAAAAACATGGTTACCAAATCATCAAATCGATTGCTTTAATTGGAATCTTGATTTATTTTTTTAATTCAACATTCGTGAAACTTTCCGATTTATTATAACGAGTTATTCGAATCAGATTTAAAAGAAAAAACGTTTTCAGAAGAATCGTAGAAATTTCAGGGGTACATTTTAAATTTAAAAAGGTATTGTTTAATAAATGAAGAAGGACTACCGATACAATCCGACCAGTAAGATTATCATCGATGCAAATTAAATTTCTAGAGTAAATTTTAAATTGTTTTTGTATTGTAACCTTTGTCGTCTACGGTTCACGTAATGGTAAGTGGTCACTGTTTGTTAAAGAACATCAACAATGTCAGGGACACAACCAAGCCACGGCCAACTTTTTTTTTATGATTGAAGGTTTATTACTGGTGGCCCGGAGGCCTTTCACCAGGATAGGTAGACAAGCAAGACTCAGCCAGGAGAAGTGGGATTTGCTAATAGCTGCCCGAGCGCCTCCAAAGAAGACCTAACAACTCAACAGTAGCTGCTTCGCGAATGAATCTACTACCGAATCGAAATCGGGGCCAACTACTGAAGACAGTCCGCAAGCCTTGTTTGAAAAAAGGCATGTTGTAACACTCTAAAGCACCATGGAGGGGAGTTCATTCCAGAATCGGATAGTATGTGGCCAACGAGATCTGGAAAAGCATTGTGCTCTGTTCCGGTGGCAGGCGATACGATCGTTTAGAACAATCCCTCGGTTACAGATGAATTCTCAAAAGAAGACACCTACCTACCTCTTTTTTGGTAATCCTGGAGAAAACACCATCCAAACGTTCTTTTTCAAAGTTTGGGATGGGAGACACGAGGAATGGTTTGATGAAGCTGTAAGCCTGATTCTCTATTCATCTATTTATTTATCTTTATCTGAATCTGTTTATTAGAGTAAATGGGTAATTGAGCTCACGGAACGTCTGATATCAAGCAGTTACCGGAACCTATAAACACCACAATGTCCTATAGTCATGAAATGAAATACAATTCTCAAAATTATATTACAGTACGGTGGAAATAATTTACGTGAAGCAAAAACTTTGTATCCTTTTTTACGAAAATTGCGCGGACGGAGGAGAATAACATTTTCCACACTTATAGAGAATATAGAGAAGAAGTGCACAATGCTAATATTTTTTAAAAATAATTCATAAAAGATACATTAAATCAATAAAGAAAACATTACACACACTACATACCATGTATTTGACGCACGCACGCATGCACACTATTTATTGTCAAACTTTTTTCTTGACGTCTGTTGTCAAATTGAGATTTAATATTGTTTGTCTTTGTTAATAGTATTTATTATGTAGTCTTGGCGAAATTTGTGATTATAGAAGTATAAAATACAATTATAATAGTGTACAAACTTACAATTCCAATTGATTATAGTCGAATTTCGACTACTGCGGGACCTCTAGTTCCTATGATTCTGTCATATGTTGTCTTATGTCTTCTACTACTTTCTTATTTTATTTCGTTGCATAAGTATCTATGTGTATTTTTAAGAAAGTATTTATACATGTATTTAGCAATTTTATACGTATAAATTGTAGTAATATCCAAATCTATGTATGTATTTAATATTATAATAAATTTAGTTTAAGTTTAGCTGTATTCATTGTATGACACCGCTTTAATTATAAATGCGTTTTTTCTTTCTTAGCAGGCGGTCTGGAAAAGATCACTTTAGCAATAAAACTGCTCTTTGTATTCACTTTGTCTTATCTTATTTCGTGCTATTTTTTTAGTATTACCGTGTATATACAACGAATAGTTATATAAATAAATTAAGGCTACCGTATCCTTGAAACCATAGTATATGACTACTTCGCAACAAATAAATGGAATTCTGCTACCATCCGGACGACACAAATAGGCTCCACAATTGCATCTTGCTTTATCCTCCTCCTTTATCCTCCATTTAATTATGTTATACTATATACCTTCCATCATGATATAATGTCAATGTTCGTAAATATTAAACGTTAGGGACTTATGTAAATATTGAGTAGAATTGGTGCCCGCCTCTGTTTGGATAGAACCACGACTTAATCGGATAATTACAAGAACAACCATCGTATTTTCTACTAAGCCAGTGAAGCTTCAATTTGTAGCTAGATTTCTTTTATTCAATTGGATGGGTAGACGAAGTTCATGGCCCACTTAGAGCTCGTAAGCACAACAACATAAATATCGCCGCCGATCCTAGGACGTGAGGACTTTTATCACGTAAAATTATCTAGCTTGATTGCGACCGGATTGTAAACGTAAACCTGTGTAGGTATGTATGTTTACATCTAGTAGCTTGTATAACAAAACACATAAATTTCAAAAATATAAATCAGAATGAAGGATATTAAACTGCCGTTTTGAAATTTACACAGCGATAAAATGTCGATAATACATAAAATACGCGCTCCTATGTCCGCTTGTAAACGACTGCCAAAACATTTAAAAAATTTGATCTGCGGCCATCTTTCTATTCCGAAGATTCTTTTGTAATACCTTCAGGTTTTTTTATTTTTTATTTTATTACTTCGATGGGTGGACGAGCTCACAGCCCACCTGGTGTAAAGTGGTTACTGGAGCCCATGGACATCTACAACGTAAATGCGCCACCCACCTTGAGATATAAGTTCTAAGATCTCAGTATAGTTATAACGGCTGCTCCACCCTTCAAACCGAAACGCATTACTGCTTCACGGCAGAAATAGGCAGGGCGGTGGTACCTACCCGCGCGAGGTCCTGCCACCAATAAGGTGTAAGTAATATTCAAAAAATTAAGATTTCATTTGAACCCTCCAAACGCGGATAGTCGGAAGTGAATTATGGAAAACTACGAATCTATACTAATATTATAAAGCTGAAGAGTTTGTTTGCTTGTTTGAACGCGCTAATCTCAAGAACTACTAGTCCGATTTGAAAAATTTTTTCAGTGTTAGATAGCCCATTTATTAAGAAAGGCTATAGGTTATATAACATCACCGTAAGACCAATAAAAGTGGAGCAACAATAAAGAATGTTTCAAAATAGGTGTTTAAACAGCTCCTTAACATTCTATAATTTAAAAATATTTTCACTTTCTACGTAAATGAAGTGGGGGCATAAAATTTTGCGTTATGCCAAAGTAACTATTCCATGCGGACGGAGTCGCGGGGAAAAACTAGTCTATACTAATATTATAAAGAGGAAAGATTTGTTTGTTTGTTTGTTTCGAATAGGCTCCGAAACTACTGGACCGATTTGAAAAATTATTTTTCCATTAGAAGCCGACATTGTCCCTGATGAACATAGGCTACTTTTTTTTTTTTTTTTTTGTTTCCAGTGTGTTTTAATGTTTCCGAAGCGAAGCGAGGGCGGGTCGCTAGTATTATATAAACGAGTGGGGAAAACGGATAAACATTAAGAAAAATGCCTGTCTATTTCCGATACGAAGCAGTCAAATATTCCGGTTTGAAGGGCAAACAAACGTTTTGCGATACAATTGAGTTTTCGGCCTCATATATTAAGGCCGGTGATGGCAGTGATGTATATAACTCCGATAATCTTGACACTACAGGAACTTATTCCGAGTCTCGTACCTACTCATTCACGAATGTACGCAATAAAAAAAATGATAACTTGTGACCAACTTTAAATAAAACAAATAAAAAAGGTATTCACGCAAAATTATTATACGTTAAAATCTATATATGAATTGGTTAAGATATTTTTGAAATCAGAATGCACAAACAAACTTATACACAGAGTATTATATTTACTTTGTTTTTAATCACTTAATTTGCACAAACTGTTTTAAAACAATAGTATTTATAAATTCTACGCTGTTTTATATAATTTGCAAAATATTCGGCATAATTCATTACAACATACATTTTTAAAAAAATTCAAAAATACCAAAAATTCCTCACCTCGGATAAGTCGCCTAGACCAAACACCAGAAAGGTAGAACACAATTCAGAACTTGAAACTGTTTATTTTCATCTGACTATTTATTTAAATCACTTTACAGTTTAAAGATACCTCATTTACATCTCTACATGGCATACATCAGGAAATTTACGCTTAGGGCGGTTGATGCTCACGGCGGCCCGGACAGAAAGCTCTGCGACCGAACTCGAGTCAGCCTAAACGAACACTGAATGTGAAATGAAAATGAAAGCGCAGCCCTTTCATAGACGCGCTGAATATAGCTGATCAGAGCGGTTTTCAAACATGTCGAATTCAAAATAAACTGCTACTAGATTGATGCTTCCTCCTTCCTCTAGCATACGTGTTTTGAGTAATTTAAATAGCAGCACAGTGGGTGAAAAACAACATATGAAAATCATATTTTCCACAAAGAAAATTCATAAAGTCCTGCATTTCGTCTTTAGTTAAGAATGTTTATCTTATATACTACATACATAAATCTTGAAATTTTCTAGTTTATTTTATAGCCCGTCGTTCATTTACTAAAATGTACGTGAACAACGTAAATGTACAGGCAAACTTGCTCAAAAATATTTTGTGTGTCAGAATTTACAGTATTACAGAATTTACTGTAAATATTTTAGGACTGAAAGCTACGATCTTAATTGTTTTTCGTTTAAAAAAAGACTTCAAGTAAAAAAAAAGGATCTTTCCCGATAACTTGAACATAATGCCTCCTGAATTTTTCGTTAAAATTAAACGGACTGTGTTGATTCTTATTTAGATCGCTCGGGTTTAACTCCAAGTTGTTTCCATTTTAATTTGATCTTATATTACTATGCTTACATATAGTAATTTTTTTATGGATAATTGCTTTAAAATTCTCATAAATAAATAAAAAATATGACTCGAATTGAAAACTTTACTTGAATTTAATTTGTGGTCAGTTAAAAAAGCGCCAATCAGAAGTAGCTTCGGGTTGGCAAAATTGACGCACTCATTAATTTAAAAATTGAGATATTAGACAGGTGATATAATTAATAAAATTATTAAATTTAAATTTGCAGTGGGTTTTTATTATTTTGTTTCCCTGGCAAAACCAAGACCTACATAATATGAAAAAAAATCTTGTCAAATGCACAGATTATTCTCCCTTTAGATGGTGCCATTATGGCAAAGTATGATTTTAATTGCCCTGTGATCTAATAATTTAAGATTCTTCATCACACTTCCGCAATAAAAAAATTAATAATCTACGCTTACGCTATTCATATTACAACAGGATACTATCATAGATACGTTCAGAGATTTTATGTTTAAATAGAGTAACCCGTCGCGCTCTGCTGTTACTCTAATTGTATTATAAAATACCGATTTTGTGATACTAATCACATGTCACGTATCGTACTTTGATAATACTAAGACAGAAACCTTTCCTAAATTCCCAAAAATAAATGTGCCAAGATTAATTACAACTGGATGAACGGTTTAGGAACGCATAGAGGACAAACATACGAATACATACAAACGTCCCCACATGAAAGTCTCACAGCCATAAAAGGTCATATACATATTATGTATAAATATTTTGGGACGGCCAATAGTTTGATGCTTTTCCCAGCTGCGCCAATGCGGGTGGACGAAGGCGGGCTCTGTCAGGATGAGTGTTTTTTGAAGTTATACTTCTTTAGGCGCGTTATGAAAAATTGATGAGAGTGAGTTATGATGCGCGCGCACCGTGACACAAAATTAACAGAATGAAGTAGCCCCCTAAATCGCTCATTACAATACGACCGACGTAACTTGGCGAGTCTGAATATGGCCGCAGGTGAACTTTCCGAACCGTACCGAGAATTACCGAATTTATACGATGTTAAGAAAAGGGATGTCCAATATGCGTGTTTGAGGATGTTGTTTAATCGATTTTTTCTCAAATTGATTAAAAAAAAAAAGTATGTTACTTCTTACGCGCGTACATAAGTACACGCACCCTTTTTTTTTGCTTAGTTGGGTGCTCACAGCCTTGGTTTTAATTGCTTACTGGAGCCCATAGACATCTACAACGTAAATGCGCCACCCAGCTTGAGATATAAGTTCTAAGGTTTCAAGTATAGTTACAACGGCTGCCCCACCCTTCAAACCGAAACGCATTACTGCTTTACGGCAGAAATAGGCGGGGTGGTGGTACCTACCCGTGCGAACTCACAAGAGGTTCTTCCACCAGTAAAAAAGCCCGAGCGCTTCCGAAAGAGACCTGACAACTCAAACGCAGCTGCTTTTCGAATGCTTACTACAGAATCAAAATCTCGATTCGATGAATGGAACTCGCAAGAATCTCAGGAGGCTGACGTAATGGGCTAGGTTTCATGTCGAACTTTGCGTTGAGCTCGATGAGAACAGTGATCTCAGTGATACTGATCCCAGCTTTAAATCTAGAAGAATCTAACAATAACTTAAACCCGAGATGACAGGTCTAGGTCGTCGACGGTGACTAACACGCGCATCAGAACTCGCTGCGGTCAAAACAAGAGGGTGATCATGTCGTATCGAAGTAGCGTTGCGATATTTACTTCAGTAATTTCCTGACGGTTTCGAGACCCAGTTTCGTCATGAAAATCGATGTTCCTCACGAACACGTTTCTCCTAACGGTGCTTCGAGGGCTTTCCTGCAGAAGCGGGACTGAAGTGATTGAAGGGAGTCGATGTTGATACGTGGTACATGAGTGATCACCACACTTGGTTGGCAAAGAGTGCTAATTGACTCAACGGTAACCGGAGGATGTTGTTGATGTATGAACTGAATCGGAGCGGGTGAAGATGGAGCTATGTAGGTCCGTAACCGAACAGGAATAGAAACGAGCTCCGTCAACTCGATATCGAAACAAACGGTTCGACAAGGCTCTCCGACTTACCCATGTTGTACAGTTGGAAAAAAAAATCAGAGTTAATAAAAAGATAATGTCAAAGGTGAAATTATTGAATTCAATAATAATAATAATAATAATGAAAACAACTTTAACAAGATAACGTAGAATTATTCTATTCCAAATTATGATACTCATGAACACAGAGGGTCAACAAAGTGGGTGTAATACTGTTTAACTTAAGAAAACCACCTAAATAGATAATTATACAGGCTGTTGCTTTAAGCAAAGACAAAGGCCGTTTTGTAAGCAATTCGTGCGCCTGTTAATAATAGACTAGGCAGAACGTATTTAGTTCATAATAAACATTCTGAAAACTTAAATCTGTTTCGTGCTACCTAGCTAAGTTTTTTCTTCTTATTCTTCTTCTTCTTCTTCTAAGTAAATCAAGATTTTTGTTTAAAATTATATTTGATTTATTTTATTTATTATTAAATTATGCATTATGAACAGACAATATACGGGAATAAGAAAAATTTTACTGCTTATTTTTAATCTATAATATGCAAAAAAACATACAGCCATGGTTGAGATGTTTCATTCAGAAAAAATACTATCCTTTTTGTATTTGCTTGGCTTCTAGTCTCATATGACACGGATTTGTACAACACGGGACTTTGTAGTAACGTATCTACCGTGTTATAAGGGGTTACCTGTATGACAATTGGCTTCCTGCGATGCCATTGTTACCAATGTCGAGTTTAAAAATCTTAAATTATAAAATACATCAATATTCTGTTAAATAAAGAATTATATGCATCGGAATGAGATGAAGTTGATTTATTGGAGTCCATAATTAATTGGGACGAAATTAAATGAAACGAGATTAGATTAAATAAACCCTCCATAAAATGATGGCTATAATATATATACTGAGACTTAAACGGACTTTTTGTAATAACCTAAGAAGCCATATCCAGCGGTTTTGCTTTATTTTCCCAAATTTGTGCAGATGCTAAACGGTTGGCTTATTAACCGTACGTACCTTTATCAGACCGTTTAAACCCGAAAAAACACAAAATGATCAAAATAAAACAATTCACACAATTTCGCTCTTCGCGTTCCAGCCAAAAACCCCTAGATAATTTTATAAAGCTACCGTCTGTTTTTTATAAAGCTTTTATTAATTCTTTATTGTACACATAAAAAAAGTACAAAAAAGGTCAAAATGGTATGAACAAAAGGCGAGCTTAACTCAGACATGAGTTTTCATTCATTAAAACGAAAGGAACATTACAGGAGATAGAAATAAAAAAAAAATTAAATGGTCTTCTTCTCGCTTTGGTTTCCTCAATACTGAGGGTCGTGACCACCTCCTCCTTTTAAATGTACATACATTGAATTTTTGTATGTTGAGTTATTTTGACAGATGTTTGGCTTTATATTGCTATTTGCACTTGAATAAAAGCAAAATACGGGTATTCTTATAATGAGTTTGTTTGACCGGAAGCTTGTCCGCCCATCTACAGCACCCAACAAGTACTACTACTGCGCTAGGGCTATGATCTACACCCACGTACACCCGTTTTACAGCCCGATCCAGCTCCATGCGCAATACATGCGCGAGCTATCCGAGCCTCCGTGCATTGATCTCCCCCAGAATATTTGGCTACCCAAAATGTAAAGAACTATAATGAAATATAAACACGTTAACCTAATAACATTTATGCCCGCAATAGTCAGTTATTGCGTTTCCATTAAAAGTGTGTAAAGGTGTTTTTTTCTGGTTTTAAATTGAAAGAAGCACCAGATAATATTATCACCTTAAACGATTTTTTTTTTTATTATTGCTAAGATGGGTGGACGAGCTCACAGCTTACCTGGTATTAAGTGGTTACTGGAGCCCATAGACATCTACAACGACTGCCCCACCCTTTAAACCGAAACGCATTACTGCTTCACGGCAGAAATAGGCAGGGTGGTGGTACCTACCCGCGCGGACTCACAAGAGGTCCTATCATCAGTAATTACGCAAATTATAATTTTGCGGGTTTGATTTTTATTACGCGATTTTATTCCTTCACCGTGAAAGTCAACCGTGAACATTTGTTGAGTACGTCTTTCATTAAACAAATTTGGTACCCGCCTGGGATTCGAACACCGGTGCATCGCTCAACACGTATGCACCGGACGTCTTATCCTTTAGGCCACGACAACTTCGACGAACGATACGTTGATTGTCGATTTTTTTACCAATACTTATTACTTTACTTATAATTTTTCGCTGTTGTTGGTAGTAGTAAGGATTCATCTTAGTACAATGTCAGCAGCGTCGCCAAGGAAAGCGTGAATATGGCCATTCACACGGGTTGTCGCGAATTCGTTAAATCGCAACCGCGACCTCAATGGCCAGTAACAAGATTTTTTTTGCAACAATTTTTTTTTTAGACTGATGTAATATGTTTATTAATATTTTATTCATCACTCTTTTACAGTGATATCCACTCTTCTATAACCATTTTTCCTCCTATATTGAATTGCTAGAAAAAAGCTATACTTCATTGGCGTAAAAAATAACTTCAATAGGTTTAATGTTATCTTCATCATAATCTTTTCATGCTTGTAAATGTTTTAATAGTCTTCTAAAAATAAATCCTTCTGCCTATTTGCTTACGTTTTAGTATTTTCATCAGCCCTGAAACCTGCTCTGTGTAACTATTTGTGGATTAAAAATAAACAAACTATCATTATACACGACTGTATTCATTTAACACTCCTAATGATCCGCAGATCGTTAGATGTTGCAAATAAAAGAATGTAAGCCGTTACTTTTGTCGTAATAGTTAAATTTGATAATATGTACATACCTTGCCCATTCGTAGGCAATAAAACTTTATTAGGCATCTAAAATACATATATGGCCATTCACGTTTATTTTATTAATCTAGCAATCGAGTCGTAGACATCGTTTTTCAACATTTTTGTGGTAAAAATAAACGGTAATTAGCACAATATTAAAGGGGATTGCCCACTCTCCATAGTGTGCTAGGCCCAAGATGGACATCAAATATTACTATAAAAATGTACTGATTCAAATTCTTAAATGTATTGGATATCTAAAAAATATATTGAAATTGACGCCACTATTATAAAAAATATAATAAAAATAAAAACTCGTTTTGAGGTTNGATGCCTAAAAAGAAACGTGGTCGTCCCCCAAAGAATGTTAAAACAGATTCTCGAGTTCCAGGGCATATGACGACACGGCATGCTGAACCATGTGCTGAAGCTCCACGTCTTTCTCCCGCAGCTGGTGGTATGGTTGGTCTTGCGCCTGTCCCTCAGCCCAGTAGTAATGAGATGCTAGTCCAGGAGCGAGGGCGTCCTCCAGGACTACAGGGGGAGTATGTAGCAAACCGACCGGTACGTCACTCTCGCGGCCGTATGCCCGCTCGCTATACATAGTTAGCATCTATGTCAATCTTTTTAACAGTGTATAATCTATGTTCCGGGCGCTTCCGTTTTGAGTGTGAATAGCGTGCGCCCGCGTCTAAATGTAATTATTGTTTAAAATTGAAAATTGTTTGTGATAAAGGAAGATTAAAATTCGAAATTCGATATTGGTGACTAACCCATAGTTTAAATACCCCTGAGATCTACCCCTCACTATAATATTTATTTATGACAAAATTAATGCACTAAGTATTTTTTCTATAATCTATTGTCCGCTTTGGGCCTAAAATGGGCCATCCCCTTTCGAATGACACCTTAGTCGTTTATCATCACGAAAACTGTAAAGTATTCGAAACACCAGAAATAATAACATAATGACAATTAAAAACGCGAGATTAAATCGTAAATGTAGTTCTTATTAAATTTAGCAATTTCTAGCGATTTTTACGAGTGGCTATTGTCGCGGCCACAAAAAAATGAAGGAGAGAAGCAGCCGTCCCCTCGAAGAAGGAAGAAGGAAGTCCAAGGAAGAGGAAAAAGAAGAAGGAGGAAGTAAGACGATGATGAAGACGTACACCGTCCCTTCACTATACAGCAGCATATATAGAACCATACCAGCAAGCTCATCACTCTCGTTAGCCAACTGAGTTTCTCGCCTGGTCTTCTCAGTGGGTCGCGTTACAAACGTTAGGGTGAAGCTGAAATAGCCTCTCAAAGATATCAGCATAGGTAGGGGGAAAAAAAACACTCCTGCATAGATAGGCAAGGAGCCCAAGCCCGGGCAGAGGGGGTTGCCCCGAGGCCAGACCTGCGCCCCTGTAAAGGGACGCGACGACCCGACGACGCGGCTACACTTTCCGATTTGAGCAGCCGACAGGCTGGATCTCGCTGCTGTTATTGTTGTACCACAGAAATTCAATTAAAGGAACTGTTTGGAAAAGTAACTTTTAATTACTGACATTATGGAAGGAAATCATAATAATGAAGAGAATGACGGCAGCCACGTTGACGTCATCATTTTAAAAACGACATGGAACCAGATTCTCCGTCATATACTATTACGTACACTAAAGTAAAACTTTTATTACATCGTCTCCAACTTTTTCGCCTGTGTGTTGCATGTCGCATGACGGCTAAGGCATGACGCAAGCAGCTAAGGCCAATATCGCGGCGGGTTCAATAAAAATATTAGTTGGGGATTTAGTCTATTTTTATCCTTTCCCATTATCATTCCAATTTTCTAAGTATAAAATTAAGATTGATAAAGCGATTTTTTTACCCTTAAGCAATGGAATATTATTCCAAAAATTTTTAGTTAAATGTCTATAATGTGAAAAAAGTTTCACTTTTACCGTGGTTTCATAAAGCCACGCAATCCTTTTTTTTTGTGTGATTGAAATCGTATGTTATTTTTCTACTCATAGGAGAGTAGACGTCACCTTGTTAACATCTACAGAAGTTCAATGTGTTTTCAAAAATAAATTACTGCAGAAATAGTGTGTAAAACTTTGTGAAATGAATGTAAATGCTTAAATCAGTTCAGAAACTTTGTGAAAAAACGTTACAGTAAATTCGCTAAACAATGTTCTAAATGCAACCAAGTGCTCCGTGTCAAAACGATTATTTGTACTTCAAGAAACTTATAAATCAAGAAAAATTAAAAAAGAATTCAATGAAAAACTAGTGGAAGAATATACTTACAGAAAAAAGAAAGTTAAGTGCTTTATAAAATATTCTTAAAATAGCATAATCTCAAACATGTTTATTATATGTAAGCAAAGTCACATTCCGATTTGAATTCAGCGCTATCTGTTGAGAGTCGAACAAAAACTCCAAAAGGAAGAGATGAGTGAAATTAAAAAAAATTAACAAAGAGTATTAACAATAACATCAATGAAAAATTTAACGAAATGGATCTTAAGTACAAACACCTAGTTGACAAATTGAATATTCAAGAAAAACAAATAGATTACTTAGATAGAGAAAACAAAAGGAGAAATTTAGTATTTTTCGGGATAGAAGAAGAAGAGAGAAGTTACTTCCAGCTTTATACAAAAGTAGCTTACATCATAACTATGAACATGAAGTTATCTTGTGAGAAATACGATATAGAGAACGTTAAACGTATCGGTAAGAAGAGAAACAAAGTTAGGCCCATCATAGTAGCCCTTACCACATTAGAAAAAAAGATGGCAAGCACGTCATATTACATACAAGAAGATTATCCCAAAAAAGTTTTGGAGATAAGAAAACCTTTGAAAGTTACAGTGGAAGAACTCAGACAGGAAGGAAAGGCTGCAATCATTAAATACGATAAGTTAATAATTTTAAAAGATAAACTACCAAAACAACATCAACAGTCCAAAAAGAGAATGCTCACACCGTCTCCAGCTACTCAAAATAACGCAAAGATAAGTAGAGTATAAGATAAATAGTGAGCAGAATAAGATAAGCAGGTCAGATATAGCTAGTTTCTTCGTTCCACAAACCGACAAGGTAAGCGATTTAGAAATCATTAGCAACGAACCCTGCCCTCTTCGTCTCTCCCAATCCGGCCAGTCACCGTGGGGGCAAAGACTGCAACCCTCCAGCTCAGTTAAAAGAAAATAGTACATTGTGCACCAAGGGAGAAAAGTAGGACATTTCCTCCTCCCTGTGAAATTGTGAAAGTGGTAAACACGCGGGATGGGATGTCCTACTTTTTTCCCGCGGTGCACATACTATTTTTTCTCCTACCAGGCTGAAAGTTCGTGGAGTACCGAGCCGGGATCCAGGGGAAGACCCCGTTGGGTCCAGGGGCGAAGCCCTGGCGTGGGGTTACTCATACTCATAAAAAAACAATTTAACTGTTTTTTAATTTTTAAATAAACTACTACTAATTAAATAAGAACTGTCTGATGAACTCATCTTTGTTTAATACTTCACTATTAAATTTTATTACCTTTTGTTTATTTCACTTTTACACTAAGCACAATATTGCAAATTACCCGAGCACAACAATGGCGGAGAATTTTAGGTGCGTGAGAGCAGACGTAGACGCTAACGCGCATGCGCACTTGTACCCAGGGAGAAAAAGTTACACTTTCTTCCCTGTACAGCGGGAAGAAAAGTTAGACTTTCTTCCCTGTACGGCGGAAGGAAAACCGAACTTTCGGCGTAGGTAGGAAAAAAAAATACATCTCTCAAGATTGGCACATTCAACGTTAGCTCATTACGGTCAGAATATAGATATGTAGAATTGATATACTCGCTACAGAAAATAAAAATGGCTTGGCAGAAGTCAGGAGAATGGGATGCTACATTAAAGAACATGAAGATTATATCTTCTGCTACATAGGGGAAACGCCAGGCTTGTATAGAGTGGGCTTCTTAGTTAAGAAAGAACATAAAAACAAGATATTAAGCTTCTCGAGCCTATCCGAACGCGTAGCTATGCTGCAGATTAAATGTAACAATGCGACACTGTCAATAATACAAGCTTACGCCCCTGCAAAGAGAGCACCAGAGGAGGATATCAACTTATTCTACGAAACTTTAGAAACAGCGCTAAGCTAGGCAGGCAGACATATTCTTCTTATCGGCGACTTTAACGCTCAGGTAGGTCAGACAAGTACGAACGAAAATATAGTCATGGAAAAATTCGGATACGGAAAACGAAGCGAGAGAGGGGAAAAGCTTGTGCAATATGCCTTGAAAATAAATTATCGATCATGAATACATTTTTTAAAGCCAGCCAGAAAAATCGTAAATGGACATGACTGTTTCCCGATGAAAATACTAAAAATCAAGTAGATTTTATCCTATCGAACAAACTAAAAAAGATAAGGAAGTTAGGTTTTCTCAATGCCTTAGGATTCAGATCAGACCATCGCCTCGTTAGAGCTACATACATGCCCAAAAAAAGGAAAGAAAATCAGAACAACATTTAAATCACAAGCCAAATCTGATTCAAAACTATCAATAGCAGATTTAAGACGTTTTCTTTTTTTCTTGTTGCAATGCTTGCAGATCTTACTAGCATTTGATCTTTTTCTTTTGGAGTTAGTTCTAGTTGGGTAAGAGCAATCGGAATCTAGTACGGATCCCTCAGTATCTATTTCAGAGTTAAAATCAATAGTTATTTCATTTGACACCTGGGGGCCGTAGCCCCCAGGGTCGTCCGGATCAAACATTAATACAAGCTAAGAAATTATAAGTATAACTTACCAAATCTACGAAGAAAATAATAATATGTGGATTAAATAGGTATAAATATACTAAAATATTAACACTATATTACCCAACTGATCCAATTAACATCAAAAAATAATTTTAATTATAGAAAAACGACCAGCAAATCCGAAGTTTCCCGCGCTTTTTCCTGAATACTTTTAAAAGCGCTTATCGTTTAAACTAATATGGTTGGAAGTGGGAGCTGGCAACACCGCTATACGAATTGAGTTTTCGTGTTTCTATTCTAGACAATTCTAGTTTATGTGTAAAAATAATATTATCTATGTTTTCATTATCGAACTCTTTTCATTGTGCCGTTAGTGAACCTTTATTTTGTAAATAAATTGTTTATATAAACATTTATAGTTCAGTGGAAGTAAATCTTCTTTTTAAGTGTAACTATATCCGTAATCAATGCCCTACATTTTGATTAGAGGTAATTTGGCCTCTTACGGACACAAAAATCCTTGGCGCGTGTTAGTGTCTGGCTTGAAAGGTAAGTTGTTGACTGTTGACAATATTTCCATTATGATGATAAGATAATAGCTATGAACTGTTACTCCTTTCATGTTTAAGCAACATGCCCTTTTGTGTTGATTAGCTTTTATTCTTTCTTTTATCAATGAATTAAATGTTTTCGTAGCGGAAGATATAGAAGAACTCAAGAGATTTGCGTGCGGAGGTTACTGTGACAATTCCACAATAGTCTACTTACAACATCCCTGCGTTATACTGAGTGCTTTAGAAGTGAGTTATATAATAAAATTGATGACTCAACTTCTCTCCTTCACGGCAGTTTAGCCATACAACACTAATTAATTTACGTTACAGGTTTTGGGTTACAAAGTAGTTGCTTCTAGTTCAACAGCAGTTAAACAAGATTATAATGAGTATATGTGGACAATGAGAAAAGAGTTTTCTGAACCAGAACCTTCAATTATTGTTGAGCAAGACAACATCACCAATTTTAGTAAAGAAGCAATGCACTTGAGCAACTACCACTCAAATAAAGACGACGAAGTTTAAACATTACTTTACTGGAAAATAAAAATTGATTAAGGTATTCATAATATGGAATCAAAAGGCAGCCAGAATGTTTTGAGCAACTTGTTAAATGCACCAATTGCACCAATAACTGAAGATGGTGTTGTTTACATTGCTATAAAAGGTTCTTTACATGCAAATGACAGTTCTGTATTTGGACTAGGTGAAGAAGAAATAAAAGCTCTTACAAAAAAGTACCCAGGATCCGGAGTAGTTGTTAATGGTGTCTCCATTAAAGCTAATGTACTTGATGCTATAAACTCTTTAGCTCAACTTGGGTACAAGGTAGTAACAACCACAGGAGATACCGAAATTACTTGGACAATGCAACGTGAACTGTGAACTTTACATACATTATCAGATATATTTTACTCAGTACTGTTCAATAATTAACAATGTCTCACAAAAATTGTGATCATAATAATTGTGCAATTGTTAGTACTAATTCTTCAGTATGTCAAACATTGACGGAAATGGATTGGGAGAGGGGCTTGTGGAATGCAGGTAAATTTGATTTTTTTTCCTATAAGTAAAATTTTCTCTATCATGAAACTACCTCAAACCGATAACTGCAAGTGACAGATGACTTATTTGTGTAACACTTTTGTTATTGATATTTATATATACGCCATAATATGGTTTGTAGTGATGCAGAGCTGTTGCTGAAAGCTACAATTTGTTTGGGCATGTTTAATCACAAAACAGCAAACACAATTGTAATTTTTATAGCAGATATAGCAATCATTGGAATCACAATATTTACTGTGATAAAAAGACATTACATTACATATTGAGGGGTCAAAGGCTATTTGGTTTAAGCAACATTTATCTTTGTAGTCACAGTTACTGTCTTTGTAGTTACTATAAGCATCAACAATTAAATGTTTTAATTGAACTTAGATTAAGTTTACCCCATTCCAATAACTGAAGTTGTTTTTTTGTTTTGATATTTTTTCCAAATTTTAACCTTTATGTAGTATAGTCAGGTTCTTGCTGTATAGTTTCAAAAATGTCGCTTTAACTACATAAATAGCCTTTCGCCCCTCATTATTTCCTTTCTGCAAAATTTCATCCAAATCCATTCAGTAATATTTTGACTGAACAAACTTTCACTTTTAAAATGGCCAATAATTAGTCATTTATTAAAAGAACCTCTGTAATACCACAGGTACAACTAAGCTGTTGCCTAAATATACACCATAGTAAACAGAGCCCCTTCCAAAGCCACTCACACCTTTCAAATCTAAATCAATACTGTGGTTCTGAGTAGTAAAGATGAATTGTAATCTAGTGAGATTGGTGCTAACCATAGAGTTCTGATAATAGGATCATCTGAATCAATTCCCCAGGGCATCAAACATTTGAGTTTATTTAAAATCAGTTTGTAATTGCTTCATAAATTTATTAACTTATTAATACATTTAGCATTTCATGGGGACAAAGACAGAGTTCAGTATTTTATTGACAAAGCAAATAATGCCAAAGAAATAGTCAATGCTCCTGACAATTCTGGCTACACAGCTTTGCATTATGCTGCTCGCAGTGGACATTTGGACATCTGCAAAATATTGTTACAAAATGGGGCTAACATTAATGCAGTGACCCACGGAAAAGTGACATCTCTCCACAAAGCTGTAGCTGCAGGTATTTAGTGAAAACTTTTCTTCTTGGTTTTGTTCAGTTGGATATCATGGGCAAGTTAGTGGGTTTTTATCAAATTAGTTGTGCCATATCTACAGGAATTGAAGCCCAATAAAGACGTTGTGACCTGCGGGATAAGACAGGCGCTGCATTTGTATGTACCAATGCAACTGTGCCGGTGAACAATACCCAAGGGCAGTTACCAATTGTATGATGAAATGGGTACTTAAATGTTCAAGATTAACTTTCACATCGACTTACGTAGGTAGGAGTGGGTATGCCTATTTCTGTCGTGAAGCAGTAATACGTTTCGGTTTGAAGGGTAGGGCAGCCTTTGTACTTAAAACTGAGACTTGGAACTCAGGTTTCAATGTGGTTACCTTGTTAGTAGTAGTGTTCATGGGCTCCAGTGACCACTTAACACCAGGTAAAAAACAATATATGTACACAAGTAGAAAGCAAAATTATTTTGGTAAGCTAATAGCTAAATCACGAATCCACAATTTACAGCTGGCAGCTAGTAAACACCCTTCAGCCAGTTTTATACAAGACCGAGGTTGTCTGGCATCAGCAGTTTTATTTTATTTGATATGTATGAAGGGTAACTAGTGAATCTGCACTAGTACTAGTCTTTGTAGCAACATGGCATGATTTATAATGAACTAAACTATGGATTTCATTGAACGTTTTCGTCATTGCAGACACTAACTATATTATGTATGATGTTAAATTACATTTTATTGGTGAGAGGGAAACTGCCTATTTCTTATATAGTGAGTTCACAAAATATTAGCTACATACAAAAGCAACATTTATTCATGCTTTACTTTACTTCCATTACTGTATTCCTGTTTCGGCTTCAAGAACAAATTCTGCACTCTGTATCATTAAAATGAAGATTTCTATAAACATTTAAATATTCTTAGTATTAAATTCAGATGAATATAATGTAAACTGTCTGTTAACAGTATGTAATGGTACTGTTAAGAGTAATAAATAATTTTGAATTGCCAATACAAATGTCATAATTTCTAAAATGGCATATTTATTTAATATTTATGTTCATTTTATACTAATGTATTATATTTTAGGTGAAGTGTTTGTAGTGAAATACTTAATACAATCTGGTGCGAAAATAGACTTGCAAGATAATGATGGCCAAACAGTTCTTCACAAGGCAGTTGAAAATAATAAATTGGACCTGATACCCATACTGCTTGATGCTTGCCCTGATCTCAAATTAATAAAAAACAATAAAGGACATTATGCTACTGAATTTATTTCATGAAAAAATCAAAATGAAAATTTGTAAGACCATCTCAACAAACTCTAATATTAGTCATTTAATTTTAAATAATATACATAGTTTAAATAAACTGTGATTTATGCTATGTTCATAAATAATAATATTGAGTACTATCACTTCTATTACTTAGATGTGTATCTTGTTTTGCATTTCAATTTTATGCTATGTTAAATAATATTCTATTTTATTTTAGAAATTAATAAATAAATTAATTTATGATTTTTATAAACTTGTTAGTACATTCATTTGCGAACTTTGTTATTATGATTTAAAAAAATCTGCATATTTATGTAGAAATATTTTTTTAAATAAATAAAACTAAGTATTTGTGAATGTATATTCGTAACTTTCTTAAATTATTTATTATAATTACATAATAGGTTAGCTTTAAAACTTACATAATAGTTACATATTTCGCTCTTTTTAACTTAAATGTCTTTAAAAGAAATATTTAATCTAAATGTCATATCATTTTTATAACATGTATTGAATTTAATTAGAACTTTTATCTTAATAGTACTAGTATACTTTTTAAATTCACAAGGATCCCCAACGATGATAAAAAACCTCAATAACGTAATCAAGTTTATCATAACAAACTGATTCAATTATTTCGAATATATATTATTTAATACTATGTATCACTAAGACTATGTTTACCCCATGAATGAGTTTAAATTATCATGTAGACACATTTGAGATCACACAAAAAATATTTTTTAATCACATACACTTTTGTAATATTTTAAATAAATTTAATACATACTATTAATTCGCGTAGATTTTTATTTCTCGGTATTTTTTATTCCCGTCACTCCTTTTTATAATTTAAAAATCGATCAGATTAGGTTTCTCATTCCTATTCATTTATTTCCCTTTATATCTCTGAATACCCTTAATGAATTGAGCAAACGTTTTAGTGCCCAATTTAATTAGAGTATACTTCTATTCCTTCAACAATATTGGTTAAAATATCCCAGATATCATACGTATTCTACATCAGTATTATTCATAAACAACAATACAATATAAAAGTTGGCCATAAATACTGTTACAATAAAAAAAAGAATATTATTACTGACCTAGAGTTAAAGTTTGAATGCAGTTGGAAAAGTGTTCAAATGATGCAAAGCGATGCGCAGGCGGTGGGGATATTTTGGTGTTCCGGTAAATTTAGAAAAGAGCCTGAATCAGAGAATACAAAAATCATGACTCACCTGATCTCAAACTCCTCATCCACTTCAACGGTAGGTTTACTGAATGATTTTTATGCCGGCGAACGGAAGGCGAGCACTTTACAATAATGCGATAGCCATGGATATAAGCGAATTTAAATTCCATATTGCGCGTATATAAGCGGGAAATCGAGTATAAAGTTCCAAATTTAAGATTATATTTTTAGTGGCCCTTACCACACATTCAAGGATTCGTGGGATTCCAAAGACGTCGGCGATAAGTGTGTGAACTCTAAATTCAAAACTATTAAAGGCAAAAAGGCGCTCATTCAATAGATTTCCAATTCTATTTGGAACTGGTCACATAAATTTTCATTGTTTTCCCATTTTAGTGATAATTTTTATTAAATATTCTTGTAATATTAATAAGTGGGGCAACGCAGAGAACAGAAATACACAAATTATAGCTTTACACAAAGAAGTTCCGGAGCACAATGAAATTTTGAAAACTTTCTATTTGCTTGATATTATTCGAATGTTTGTATATCGAGCTATTGATAGGTTCAGAGACGACAAAAGGAAGATCTTCCATCGACCAGGTATTTTTGCTGGTAGGCAGACAGTCCTGATGTTGTTGTTAAGTACTCGTGCATATGCAAACATACCTTGAAAACGAGGTTTCAGGTTTTTGTCAAATATCTTCTATCGCATGATAGCTACCGCTATAATTATACCCTTGTAATAAACTCCCCGTCAAGTGGTTACCAGAGTCCATAGACCACACGATGTGAAGTTATGTGGCACCCACTTTGAGACTAGAAGCCGAAGTATCGATGTATAGTGACTGTCTCACTCTTTAAACCCAAACCGTTCCTCCCGTACATCCAACACTACTAATTTACCGAATTCGATTTTTAATAACGATATCATGTTACTTCTTCATTGTGGAAGGCTTTATTGAATACATTTAATTATCTACATACCTACATATTAAAATTGGTGCCTGTCAGAGAATTTCAACAGCAAAACAGTTATATCATTCGATAAGAAAACATTAGGCGACTTCCCCTGTAATTATTGGAAGACGGTCGTTTACGCGAACCTAAATTCTGTACTTTGTCGAATACAAATTAATTGAGAGTTTTTCAACTCGGTAACAAAATTTACCGATGGATATTGAAACTCCCGATGATCCTGGTAGAAACGATTATTTGCAATGAAACTATCTATATATTCCACGTAGAGCTACACGACAAAGCACGAAATGTGTCTGGAAACTACACCTCCGACTCGGCACATGCTGCAGTCAACATTCTAGACACACGTCCTAACGGATACATCAGATCCAACAACCCTTGCACGCCTTCAGCTCTAACGCTAAGAGGGACCCCGGTAACCGTACTCGTCGAACTCGGCAGAGTTGGATGTGCAACCTAACTTAAACATCAGCCTGAGTTTCTCGCCGGATCTTCTCAGTGGGTCGCCTTCTTCTTCCATCACTGCTCTTGTTAGGCTTGTATTATCAACGCCCCCAGGTTTGAGCTACGAGAGCTCACTTACTCATTAGGTTACGCTGGCATAGCCTCTCAAGCCTACCAGCTCGGGTAGGGAAAAAAAGCGTTCATCCCAAAAATAAATAAAAAGCATTAAATAATATCCCCCCTTACTACATACGTACTTAACTAGATAAATTACATATTAAGTATTAAATCAATGAAATACTTTGATAGCATTCGAATGGCAATTCGAACATCATCGCCAGTTTGCCCTGTCAATTTCACAGCCAAAAAGCCATTAAAATGAAAAACACAATGTTCAATGTAATATATTGATCTATTTTATTACATTGTAGCATTTAAGAAAATGTATTTCAAATGTAATTAAATCACTAATTACATTACGATAAAAGTTCAGAAACGTTCAACGTATTTTTTTTTATATTTAATGTAAGTTCTGTTTGAGATTGCTTGGCTAATTTAGTCTTTGCCATAGACTATATACAACATTTCTTCCAAAATGCACACTCGATTTTAGTCTACATTTAATATTTCATACTACTTATTCGAGCCCCTCGTCTTCCATCATGAGGAACCTTTTTAAACCACGGGGTAAGGGTAACGTTGCCACAAAACGAAATAATTTATTACTTTTACACATACGCCTTATTGTTATCCTACAATAATCTGATAATGTCAAGGGCTGTTTACAAGTCTGTTGTACCCAATTTGTAGTACATGTTGATTTAGTAGTAATACTAGGATCTTGAGGTATCACGTAATGGCCCGCCTTGAGCAACATCCGCGCTAAAACGTGCGTCTCTCTCCTGCTAGCTATTGACAAATTGTCCAAACCGCATGAATGTAAGTCACACGTATTAACATCGGCTCCATACCGAATCAACAAAACTGCGGCATGATCTCTGAAAACAAAAAATATATAATATAAAAATATACTCCAAAACCAATACATGTTAATGAGGGTGCTGCTAATGGGCAAATTATCAGAAATACACTTGATTTTTTCACTTACTTTTGTAGCAAAAGAGCTCTGTTTAAAGCTGTGTCGCCTATTAATGTAATAGCGTTCATATCTATATTATAATCCAATAAACATTTCAATAGAACTTCAAAATGTTCAGGTGATTCCACGCTTTCAACTGCTATATGTAATGCATTAGCACCCGTGATATTGTTGCAAGAGTTTACATTAGCACCTGGAAAAATACATTTATTTAAAGATTGACCAAAATACCACAAATGCAATTCTATTCGAATGTTTTAATTAAAAAAAAAGACGAGCTTTATAATTTTAACATAACAGCAACGTAAGACTCAGGTACTTGTTAGCTTGTAAGTAGTAAGTAACAAACAACATTGGAAAAAAAAATGTCTCCTGACCGCAGTGAGTTACATAACATAGCAAACGCTCTCGTCTATGTAAATCAGTAACTAAATTTTAAATATTTTCTCAGACCGTCTTTGTTTAATTTTAAACAAGATTATTTGTTGGTTAAAATCTTATTTTACCTATTAGATATATTAACTTATTGTTGCTGGCGCTGCAATGAGGTTTTGTCATTGTTAATGTAAGAAAGATACTGAACTTGTGGTTTTCAGGCATTTAGCAAGTCGCAGCAAAGCATGACAGAGATTTATTAATCTATTTAAAGATATTTCAATGTTCCTTTGTATGTTCTTAGTTATCTGTGAGTTTTTAAGCCGTTCATCAGTTTGTCATAAAATTATCAAAATACGATATAATTTTCGATATAAACATAACCGGGTTTCACTAGTAATTCAAGATACCTTTCTCAAGCAATAATCTAGCAACTGAAGGCTGCGATAATCTTGCCGCCAAAAGTAGGGGTGTGTCCCCATTGTCATTGTGTAGATTTATACCTCCACCGATTTTAGTTAGCATCTTAACTATAGGTTCCTGAAATATGAAGTATGTTGCATCAGCTAAATATAGATTTCAATACGATAAATAGACTATTAATGACTTATAATTTACCTGTCTTTGTATAATTGCATTATGCAAAAGTCTATGCGAGTGTGTGATGCGAGCGCCTGCTAATAGTAAAATTTCGACAACCGTCGTGTATCTTTGCCATACTGCTTCACATAGGGGTGTATAACCTTAAATGAGCGATTTTTTATTTGTTACTTAATAATTAATAATTAGAAATGAATAAAATTGAGAAAAAATGCCTAATCATTGCCTTTAAAAAAATATGAGTTAGTTTGATGATTTTGTTTTTTTATATGGATGAAGGATTGCTCGTGGCCCGAGATATTGTGAATGGAGGGATATTTTTCGTCATCTGTTATTTTTCAAGATCGAATATGTGTACTGATCGACAGTCCCCAAAAATAATGTCATAGGTATATATCACAGCAAAATTTCAGTTGAAAGGAAAAACGAAGGTTTTAATAGCTTATACTCGCAGGAATTATTGTTTATTTATTTACATGTGTCTTTTTTATTTTACTGCGGATTAAAATAATATAGCAATCTCACATGCAATTTCATTTTTCCGTTTTTGTGTCATGGTAATATTCATAGGATCATGCGGCATACTTGTAGGGTTTGTTTGTTTTATGACTATTGATTTTGTTTCACTATTATCACAAGAGATCTGCAAGATTACTAATTAAATGGAACTACAAAACGTCAAGTTTTATTTTGGTTATCTTCAGTAAATATAGTTATACCAGTCAATAATTATATTAAAAATGTCTACAATCATCTAAACAATGTTGCGAGAAAGCTGCACACTAGCACCAAGACTGTTCGTCCGATCTTTTTAAAACTGAGTGCTTACTTTCTTTATTCTTTAATTAATGTTTTTTTAGGCTTTCGAAGTCAGATGAACATTCGACTTATCTAATGAATGAATGAATGAATGATTTATTTTATTTTATTTCAGACAACAATAAGTCCATATGTGTACATAGTATCATTGAAACATACTCAAAATTAACAAAACCAATCAAATAAAAAAGCTACATTTATTAAAAGTCGAGGCTGGTCGAGGCGATTCGTTGTACTTACCTCGCTTTTGTGGTAATCTACCCTGTTTATACATTTTAAGAAAATAATCTTTATAGTTTTTGTTAAATAATTGTCACAGCACCGCATGTCGTTACTATAAATTATTGTCATGTACTACACGATCTGAATTAATTATAACTATTTTAATGTTCTCATTTAAGTGAATTTATGTAATTCTTTTAAGAATAAATAATTTCTTTAACCCGAAAAGTAATTATCAGTTGAATACATTTCAAATTTTCTATACAACAGATACTTACTTCGAACCAACCGTTATTATTATTATTATTATTTAGTCCGCAAGTGAACCATGGTACAATGGTTCAAGCACCGACAGTCATAACAGTCTGTTAATGCCTTCAGGGTGTTGTTAGGGCTAACCCGGACCCAGCGAATCAGGGATGTGCACCTTTTCCGCATGGTGGGGGATTATCGTCATTCGTGGAGATCGACAATGTTACCAGCAAGGCCATGTCTACTCCGATCTTATTAAGCACTAAAATGTGGCAATATAGCTCTTATGTTCAATTCAAATATGATATAGAATAAGTTTTGTTGATATATAAAAATAGAAAATGTCCAATACCATGAATTTCTTCACCATTAACATTGGCTCCACTATGAATTAGGTATTTGACAACATCACAGTGGCCCCTTCCTGCTGCTAGATATAATGCAGTTCTTTCAGCTGTGTCTCTTGCTTCTAAAAGTGCTCCATTACTGACTAATAATTTAACCTGTAACAAATGAAAATGGAATAAGGATCGATTTTCAAAACTGTATTTAATTAATGGTTGAACAATTACTGAAAACGAAAAATGTACATATTTCAATACAAATGTAGTAGATATAAATTTTATCAACAAAACGCGCAAAGATTTCATCTAGCGTTGATGACGTCACAACCGTAGAAAAGAAACTAAATGAAACGAAACGTAATGCTTACTATAAAGGCAATGATTATCTAGAAGATTGCACAAAGTGGGTATGAGTTGCTCGCTCCGGGCATTTCAATATTGTAGTAATTGTTACGTTATAATACTCATTGTAAAAAATTCATATTTTAAAAAAAAATTAATATTAAAAAATAAATAAATAATAATTTCATATTTAAAAAAAAAAGACATGCCCGCTGAGTTTCTTGCCAATTCTTCTCAGGACGGAGGCTAGTTCTTGTGAATTGGCGGTAGTTCTTTTGACGTTCAACAAGTATGTACTTTCATTTATGTTGAATAAAATTTTTTTGATTTGATTTGAATGAGAATGTACGAGAAACATTAAATTTGAAATACGCATCCAAACTGGCTATTTTAATGAAAGATAAATTTTCAATCAAATTGCACCACATGAAAATTTAGGTTTGATAAACTGGAAGTGTTTAGTTTATGACCACAACAGAAGTTTAATCATTAATTTTCTAAATGAATTTACTATGTAGAAGCAATTTTTTCTTGAGGTATCAAATATTTCGTGAATTACTATAACTTGACTTACAATATCTAAAAATCCTCTTGAAGATGCAAAGTGTAATGGAGTCATTTTTTCGTGAGTTTTGTAGTTTACATTACTTCCAGCAGCAATAAGTAGTCTCACAATTTCTATATGATTCTTAACAACTGCTACATGTAAAGGTGTCAGGCCATCACTTGCTGTAACATCTATTTTACATCCTAAAATAAGTTATTAATAAATACAATTTACATATGACTCAATGTTAAATTTGACATTGTTCGAAACAAAATATAGTAAATAAAAATATATATGAAACATATAAATAAATAATAATAAATAAATATTATGATACATTCTTATATGCCAAATAATGCACAATTAAGAATATCAATGGCAAATTGATTTAAATAATAGTTGACTAAAACTTCACTAACCAGCTTCTATTAAAAGCTTTGCAGTATCAATATGTCCCTGTTCTGAAGCATAATGTAGGGCAGTTCTCATAAAGGCATCTTGCTGGTCTATGCCATTAGTTACTTTTGAAGCTGATGCTATTGCAGCCCCTGTGGATTCTAATATTGCTGCATACCACCTAAAAAAATAAATCAATTTTCAGTTAAAAAAATATTATGTGATTAATCACTAATATAGTATTTTAAAGCAGATTTCATGAGTGTTCCAGGGCACGTGGAGTGGCACTACAGATTCACAATTGTATGATACTCTTACATTCAGGACAGTCACTAAAAACTACTTACTCTATTAATTAATAAATAAAAAGTAAAATCACAAATTATGTCCAACATTACACAGATAATACTGGAAAAAAAGGAATATGTCCAGTTACCCATGCACAGTATGCACTTTTGACCCAGGAACATCACACATACCTCACATATGAGATTGTGGTTTTGCAATTATATGTTGTACACTACTAAGTGTTTCCATAATTTACCTGCCTGTAAACCAATGTTTACAATATTGATGGCATGGGATTATTCACTCATCAAAAATACTTGCTCATCTACCAGCTTCAGATAAAATAAAAAATAAGAATTGCGTACATAATTGTGAAATAAGTACACACTTATACATTGATGACCATGTTTCATCTTCACTGGTAGTTGGAGCAGTATTGCCTATATCTTCATCCCACTCCAAGTCTGCTTGAGGTGAAGGACTCATAGATGATGAGCTTTTCGGAGATTTCAAACTAGGAACGCGTGTTTCATCACTACTACTTCCGTCGTTGTGTATAAACACAAAATATCCTTTATTTTTTTCAATTTGTCCAGTGTGAGATAAATCTAATTTTTCACATTTTCCTACACTATAATCTTTGATTTTTTTCTCATTAATGTTCTTAAATTTCACAACTGTTTCACTTATTTGTCCATCATGTTTGAACTTTCTTTTATGGCATTTTAACGTCCTTTTTCTTGAAGGCGCTTGGTTATTCTTACTTTGTGGTGTTTTGCTGGCTGTTATGAGAAGTTTCATTACGTCAACATTTCCTGTGTTAGCAGCTTCGCCTAAGCATGTCTTTCCACGACTTGCTGTCTTATTTGGATTAGCCCCTGTATTTAAATGAAAACAAGTAATTAATATAGTTCACATAGGTATGTAATTTATTAGTTTAATTTGTAACTGTCGACATTTAATGCACAAACTTTAAGCTACTGATCAGTAAACTTAACGGTTGCTTTCGTTTTTAATCGAGTTACAAAAATCTAATATCTTGAGATACCTAAATACCTTTTGATAATAAGTGCGAGATTGAGCCCTGATCTTCAAGAAGGATAGCTTGAAATAAAGCTTCTTCTAAAGAATTTTCCATTTTGTTATAAGGAACACGAAATCTTGCTTTAATTTCCTTTTATATTTTTATATTAGACTGTAATCACGTAGGTATTTAATTACTTTATTGAACTTTATTCGGATTTAATATATTAAGTGTATACTCTATGTTCCCTACCCCTACGACAGTACATACCATAGATTATACACTTAATATATTTGAGAGTACATACGGACATACGACTAGCAGTGTGACCATCTCTTAGCTTCAGATCCTGCCATAATTTAGTTGAAAACCTGCCCAATCCTGCCAAAGTCTGTGGTAAAAAATGCCTTTTTTATATTTTTTTTATTGCTTAGATGGGTGGACGAGCTCACAGCCCACCTGATGTTAAGTGGTTACTGGAGCCCATAGACATCTACAACGTAAATGCGCCACCCACCTTGAGATATAAGTTGTAAGGTCTCAGTATAGTTACAACGGCTACCCCACCTTTCGAACCGAAACGCACTACTGCTTCACGGCAGAAATAGGCAGGGCCGGTGGTACCTACCCGCGCGGACTCACAACAGGTCCTACCACCAGTAATTACGCAAATTATAATTTTGCGGGTTTCACTTTTATTACACGATGTTATTCCTTCACCGTGGAAGTCAATCGTGAACATTTGTCGAGTACGTATTTCATTAGAAAAATTGGTACCCGCCTGCGGGATTCGAACACCGGTGCATCGCTTCACGAATGCACCGAACGTCTTATCTTTTAATGCCTAATTATTGCCAACTTTATTAACCGTTGTAATAAACCAAGAAAAGTATAAAGACAGGAGTTTTTGGAGAACTTAAAGCAGACTTTGTGCTATGCAGCTATATCTTCTAACAATCTGCAAAATTACTCTAAAATGAACAATATTTGAAGTATATTGATGGTTTTTGAGTTATGTGTTTAACTTAGAAATGTAAGCTGTGTAGTCAAATGTTGCCTTACGACTTGTCACAAGAACTCCGTTGCACGGCGTCAGTTGATAGCCTACAGTTCAGCTGAGCTGTGCGTAGACTTTGAAAATGAAGAAACTATAATATAATATGTACATGATCGAAAGACTTGCCATGTATGTGTGTTCATGATTAAATTAAAATGATTAAAAAAAAAACACACACATAATATAAGCTATATTTTTATTAAATTAAAATTAATCATTGCAATTAGCGTCATATTCTTCATTTTTTTGATCTTTATATATTTTTTTTTATTCAGTCTACTTAACATATCTTCAGTTATTTTAAATGCAATGCAATCGCCATGCTCACCAAAACCTTGTTTAACATGCAAGATAGACGCTACATGTTTGTTTATAAATCTGTTGCGCGTTTTCGTTTTAATGAAATACATATTGTGATACGGCTTGTATGTGGTAAAAAAATAAATAAATTACATTCTATCTAATAAACTTACCGAAGACTACCCCGAGAATCCTCTAATTATTGTTTTTTGTTTACTAGTAGTGGCATGGTCTTTTATAGCGGACAGACGGGTTACTAATTTGCAGTTACAGGCATTACAAAAGGCTACTTCTGGATCCTTTACTGGTGGTAGGACCTCTTGTGAGTCCGCGCGGGTAGGTACCATCACCCTGCCTATTTCTGCCGTGAAGCAGTAATGCGTTTCGGTTTGAAGGGTGGGGCAGCCGTTGACAGATTTCAGAACTTATATCTCAAGGTGAGTGGCGCATTTACGTTGTAGATGTCCATGGGCTCGAGTAACCACTTAACACCAGGTGGGCTGTGAGCTCGTCCACCCAGGGTATGGGGAAATCCCCTACATGCTCACGAAGTATCTTCAGGGTTGTCTTTTTTTACATTTTATTGTGTTGCCATAAGGAAATTTATTTTCTTTATCCCAATACTGCCAAAAAAACTGCCAGAAGCTAAAATAAGAGTCCAATCCTGCCAAAATGACAGGATCCTGCCACATATGGTCACACTGCTGACTAGATCCAAATGCTATAGGTACCCGAAATTGGGGTGATTAGGGATTGAGAGGTGAATGAGGAAAAAACTAGGAAAATCTTTCGACACTCAATATTAGTTTTATATTCGTTGCAAAATCTTCCATTTTTTGTAGTTTAATAGTAGAATGTTGAAAGTTCACAAAACAACTCTGAATATGCATGATAAAAGCTGCTAACTTTTAAAAACTTGCATAACTTCTTGTGGTGGTAATTATTTTAGTGCTATTAACTTTGCTCTCTTCAACGGCGGATTCAGAAAGGGGGGGGGGGGTGTCATGGGGGTCATGACTCCCCCTGAGCTGGTTCCAGATAGACCACTAATTGAATTATTTATATTTTATTTATATATAGGTTGGGGAAAATTTTCTTCGCATTTTTTAAGAAAATTCACAACATTTTTTAATATAGTTTATTCACATTTAACTAGAGTATGTAGGTACCATTTTGTTCGATAACTTTTTGCCATCTTGTAGGTAGGGACATGATCCCATTGTTATAGAAGTTTTGGGGCTTCTGATCAAAATACCGCGACAATTGGCTTTGGCAGTCCTCTCGTGATGTTAACCTGACACTGCCTAAAGAACTCTAGAGAAAGAGACCGAAACAGGTGGAAATCTGAAGATGCAAGGTCAGGACTATACGGCGGATGCATTAACACCTCCCAGTCAAGCTCTCTAAATTTTTGCTGAGTGACTAAAGATGTGTGAGGTATATGCGTATGCGTTATCATGATGGAAAACCACACCCCTTCTGTTGATTAATTCCGGCCGCTTTCTCTCAACTTCTTGACTTAATCTCATCAGTTGTTCGCAGTAGAGTTCAGAATCGATGGTCCTGCTTGGTGGTAACAGCTTGTGGCGTTTACGTATATTGGAGTTAATAGTATAGAAACTCCTTATCAAAAGAAAACATATACATAGAAAGCAGTAACAAGAGGTGTCACAAGAATAAGTAAAAAATATCGGTCACTTCGTGAAGTAAAATAAAATAAGAAAACTGTGATTTCGATAGTAAATTCTAAAACATCGACGTAACTAATACTAATATATAAAAGTGTGTTAGTATATTATTTCGTAACAACCACGCTCTGCTACCAAGAATTTTAAGTTATATCAAAGTACGCACCTTTTTATGATGCGTAAGCCGGAATGCACGAGAGGTAGGAAACAGAATATAGTCTGTGACACGGAATCTTTTTACCGCCGAAAATTTAAAACGTAAAAATAATTTAAAATGTGTTTAATAACTAATATAATATAATATAATTACTTAGAATTGTTTATGTCGCTACAAGAATAAAATTTCTATTGCTCTAACTGTGGTGTTCATTACATAAAACACGACCTTACGGCGAAATAAAGAAGGGACTCTATATGAACTCCCACAAGCTCTTAATGAATAAAGCCCTTCCAATCTCACCATACACACAGCATCACCTTGTTGCGAGTTAACCCGGGTTTCGCCACACTCTGTGAAGCCTGACCGGCCTTTGACCACGACCTTTTTCGCACGTTCTTGTCGTACGTGATCCACTTTTCATCACCAGTTATCATCTTCTTCAAAAATCGTTCGGTTTCATTACGTCGTATAAAGAATCACAAATGAGTACACGGTTCATTAGGTTTATTTCAGTGAGCTCGTAAGGTACCCAAATATCGGGTTTTTTTGTGTACCCAGTTTTTTTCAAATGCGCCAAGACGTATTTTGTGGTCAATTCCCAGCTCTTCAGCTACATCGTAACTACTGATATGCCGGTCTCGCTCCACTTTTTCAAAAATGGCATCCATTTTATCCGTACCTAATAGGGCGACCAGAGCGACGTTGTCCGATTGCGCTGAACTAATTTTAAATGATGAAATATATGTTTTTTCTAATTGTCTCACAATTTACAGGAAAAGTCTGTCGCGGATCATTTCCCAAGTAAATACAAATTAATCATAAGTAATTAAATGTAATCAAGTTTTAGTTATAATTTTTTTTTTTGGTTGTCAATAATGTCAATGCACTGTCGATTGCTAGGTTTCCTACTTCAATGTCGATTGCACTTGAGATGACATCTGTCATGTACTTTTGTCAGTTTTTCAAGGTTTTTTATTGATGATCACTTTGTTGATGTAACTAAATAAATAAATTAATTAAAAACAAGTAGTGCCAACCCTAGCAAAATTCTCTATTAAACACTAATTTCGTCCCTATTAACCGCAATTTCCGAGTAAATAGGGATTACACCTATTTTTGCTTTTTTTGCTTAAGCTCAAATGCAAGTTGCATAGTTTTAAATTGGATAACAAAGATACCCCCAAGACTCAATCGTTTTGATCCTGATAATTTTAAACATCCTCCCCCCACTTTGAACAAATATTAATATATTTTATTATGTATTACTTAGACATTTTTGTCCACCTTGAGATTTCATTGTTCTTGTTACATGTCTGTGCAAAACCGACTTACTTATGTTAAATTCCTTAGCTATTTCAACTAAAGATTTATTCCTAATTTCATAGGCTTCTATTACTGTTTTTAATATTAATCATATCTCTTAGAAAGTTTTGCACTCTTTGATACGTACACGCGAAGCATATCTGAAAATAGAAAACAACACGTAGGTAACTGATAACATAAATATTGCCAAACAATAAATTAACACTACATTGATAACTTTGAATAAAAGTTCTAGACAAAAACATCATGAATAAACCAGATTCTTACCAACAAATTTAAGAAATATTGTACCTAATAACTACACAACCCCACAAACCTGTACTTATTTATACGTAGTTCGTTTCCATTTCACTTAATCTTATCCCAACTGATTCCTTTTTCGTTATTATTTGTACCTGAGACGTCCCCAATATCCCCAAAAACAACAGATTTTTACATGTATTTTTATTTTATCAAATACATTAAAACCAATAATAATTGAGACTTACCTTTATAATTGTAATAAGAGAAAACCTTTACTGAATATAAGGTTTTAATAAGCTAAAATTAATAGTAAAATTTGCTTTGATTACATTAGGTACATTGACAAATAACGAATAAAACAGATTGACAATGACGTCAACTTATGGCTGATAATTTCAACTAAGAAGTTTACATCATTCTCCCACACTATTTTAGAACATAATCTTTTAAAAATCCTGGCGTTTTATGGACG